AGGCACCTGTATCTATTAAAAATTCAACTTCTTTCTCTTGTTCCCCTAGCTTTATTTTGACCAGTGGATCCGCTAGGGTAGATGCCCCAGGTCCCCATCAATCAGTCCCCGTTTCAGCTCTCAGGGCAGGTGGGGTATTTTTAAACTCAGGGCATTCATTTTTCCAGTGTCCTTTTTCCAGCAATATGCACATTGATTCTGCTCCAATACATTTCCAACATTAACACCTCTACCTCTTGCCAAATTCCTTAGTCCTCCTCTAGTCCCAAAAGGCATCCCTCTTCCATGTCCTCTAAATCCCCTATCCACATCTTCCCGATTTCTAAAAACTCTCCAGGCTTCTTCAAGTAATTTCTCCAGATCCCTTATCTCTGGTTCTTGCAGTAACCGGAGTAAAAGCAGTTGCCGCTCCCCCTTCTTCCTCACCGCTCCCGCCACCCTCTGTCTCAGGGAATGGCGACTGGGGTGGAGAAAGCGGATCTGGCAATGGAGGGGGGGGGCATTCCCAAATCCTCAAGCTGATCCTCTGCTTCCTCTTTACTCTTCCTGGATTCTGTCACTTTTAAACACCTTTGTCCAATACTACATGCCGAGCAACACCTCTTCATTTTCTGCTGCCCCTTCCTTTTATCGTTCTGTTCTTTCTCGAGGGACAAAACTAGAGGATCTTGCGATGGTATATTAAATCCACAGTCCTTTTGCCATTCAGGATGATTTCACAAAGTGAAAAACATATCCGCATACATAACCTCATCCCATTTTCCTTCTCTCCGTAAGAACAACATCAACTGCAACATAGTATTATAGTTTAGAGTCCCATTAAGAGGCCACTTTTCTCCATCATCTAATTTGTATAAGGGCCACCATTGATTACAATATTTTATCAAAGTTTTCTTATTCACATTCCCACCTGACGGTCCTCCTGTATTTTTCCAATGTTTTAAAATACATCCTATAGGACTCTTTTTCACAATTCCGCCACTTTGCTGCCCTCCCATCTTTATTAATTTAACTCCCCACACAGGACAGTTAGAGGATAAAATCTGTCTCCCTAATGTTCCCCCACTGCATCCACAGCTGACAATTAGGGCACTCAAAATCAGTACAATCTGGATTAGACCCAAACCAATGAGCATTAAATATCTAAAAACAATTTTAACATTCAACACTTATTGCTTGCTTTACACCCGTTATCCGGGTGGAGGGAACAATATTCATTTATATGACCGGTCACATTTATCTGATTAACCAAATACACTCACTTCGTTTGTCTCCGGCCGCACCCCTCGCGGGATAACAGAACCGCGGATCAGAACTCCGCACTCGCTTCGCAGCTGCGCCGCGTCTCAGTCACTCAAATCATACATACAGGAGCTAGCTCAATTCATTCACACACCTTTTATCAAATCCAAATCAGCTTTCAATAAACAATTCCTTTAAACAGTTCCAATTTCAATACCAATAAGTTACTACCACCACAATGTACGTTAATGCAAAGGTACTTAGCTCGCGACTTACTCACAACTGTACCTAACGTACTAAAACCAAGTGTATGAAATACAAGAGTACAAAACATAACATGTGTTCATACCCGCATACACAAACCAAACCAAGTGTACGAAATACAAAAGTACAAAGCACAAAATGTGCCTATACCCGTGTACACAAACCAAACCAAGTGTACGAAATACAAAAGTACAAAGCACAAAATGTGCCTATACCCGTGTACACAAACCAAGACCAAGTGTACGAAATACAAGAGAGTGCAGCACAACCTGAGTTGCGCAGCAGAACTCACGTACACAGTCTGCCCTCAGGCACTAGTAGCCTGGCACACAGCGCCCTGCATAGGACGTCTCCTACGACTTATGGGAACCCCAAATGACCGGTCCCAAAAACCAAAACCATTTATTTTTTTTTCCCTCTAATTTTTAAAAGAATACCTTATTTTCTAGATGGTCCTTGTCTGCTCCCGCAGTGATCCGTATGAGGCAAGGAGTCCCTCCGGGAAGGTCTCGGGGGTACCCTGGGGAGTCCTGTTCTCAGCGGGTCCTGCAGCCGAGCAGAGAGGGTCCTATCTGGGTCGCCAGAATTGATGCCGTGAAAGACGAAATCAGGACTCAATAGCCAGGATGACTATTAAGCAGGTATTCTTTATTGCAGCGCTGGACGCACAGGGGATCGCTCCTCCAAATGTGCGCGCCAGACGGAGTCGGTTTGACAACATATATGCATACATACATACATATTCATGTAAGGAGTTTTAACATATTCATTAGTTTCCAGTAATTCATTACCATACGCTACCTCCCTCTTGGAGTTCTCCATTTGTCAGAGATAAGATAACATTGTGCTGGCCTCACGACTGTTGCCTACGTGCCAGCCTTCCTGTCTTGTTACTTATCGTAGCTCTGCAGGGGTTGCAGGCCCCTCTTTGTGGTCAGTCAGGCTACATTTGCTAAGTCATACTTAGGTAAGCAAACCTTCAAGCCATTCCTGGCCTTATTCTTTAATTCAGTTCCTATACAATCAGCTTTTTAACTTTGTATATACTTTTTTTTTTTTAAATCTTGAAGGTGCAAACAGTATGTGGATTTAAAATGGATGATTTTTTCCACAGTAACTCTGCCTATCATCATTCTGCACTGTGATGAGTGTATGTTGTCTTATCTCTTTCATAATGTATCTCTGTTTACTTGAGGATAATCGTATACCACAGTGAGCAAACTGGTGAAGGAGCCGTTAAATTGTAGACTCCTATCTAGACTTTCTCATGGTTGCACAAGCTGGGAATAGCAGCTCTTCGATTGTGACTGGGAGGGGACAACTTTTCAAGTTGGTTTTTTTTTTTTCTCTCTACTGAAATAAAAAGCAGTAGAGTGAAAGGAGATGCCTGATGTGGTAGTAGCAGAGTGAGAATTCATGGTGAGTTGTCATGTTTAATCCTTTGCTCCTGAGAAACAAGATTAAAGACTGTGGCTGAACTTTCTCTGTCAAGTCCTGGGTTCTCTGTGGCTGTTTTCACCCTACTGTTGTTTTGGTAACACTGCAGTATATTTAAATAATGCTTTCTAATTCATTAGGTTTTAATTTGGTAATATGGATGAATAAACTAAAGACTCTCCATATTCTCATTCCAGTAATGGAAATGGTGATGTGTTTGGGAGGGGTAGTATAATTTAGGAGATGTTCTTGGAACTTTTGGCAGAAAATTAGCAATATATTAGTTATTGCTTGTTAGTTTTCTTCCTTCCTTTCTTTCTTTCTTTAACAGTGTTGCAGTAGTACATTTTCCTGAACAGAAATGTTTATGTATATGTTTGTGTGAACTGTAGCACTGTAAAATCTTGAACTTTTTTCAGGCATTACTGTAAAACACACACACACATATACACACAGATCTTGCTTTTTGGCAGAGCATACAGTGATCACACTATGCTGTGTTTTTCTGTATGTGCAGCATTGTATTACTCTGTATTAGTGCTGGTGCTAGGTTTTTAACTGTAGATGCTAAAACACTTGGAAAATACAGTTTATCATGCAATCTTACATAATTCGTGTTTCTCATTTTATTTAGAAGAATGTAACATTAATTATACTTTAAAAAAATGTTGGACCATAGAAAATATTAGTATCAACACTTAGTTAAAAGAAATAATTTTCTAAAGAGTCTTTTGATATCTAGTTTCAGTCTTTCTATTGTATTGTGATACAGCATATAGCTCCATATTGCAGATTGGAGGTGGCTTTCTTTCATTATAAGCCTACATAACATACTTAATTTGGTCTTTTAGATCCTTTGCGTGGTCTTTAATAGAAGAGTGGTTTGGGCAGATGTAATACGCTTCAGAGAGGTACACTATTCTCCTTTCAGTGTATACCTAAGTTTTTATTATAATTCCTTTTTTTATTGCTAACAAAATATCTTCTATGAAAATACTTTCTTGTTATTTGAATCATTTTTAATTTAGTAACCAAGGTACTGATCCAAGACCAGTGTATTAGAGTAAGATAGGCAAGGTTTTCCATATTTCTACTTGTGTGACAAAAGAATTCCTTTTCATTCTAGAAGGTGGGGGTTGGTCTCTTCTCCCAAGTAACAGGCAATCGGACAAGAGGAAACAGCCTCAAGTTGCACCAGGGGTGGTTTAGATTGGATATTAGGAAAAAATTTTACACTGAAAGGGTTATCAAGTGTTGGAACAGGCTGTCCAGGGAAGTGGTGGAATTGTCATTCCTGGAGGTGTTTAAAAGACAGGTAGATGTAGATGGGTTTAGTGATGTTTTTGTCAGTCTTGGGTTGATGATTGGGCTCGATGATCTGAAAGGTCCCTTCCAACCTAGACAATTCTGTGATTCTAGGTATTTTTAAAACAATCAGGTAGAAAATAGCATCTATTTGTGCTGTCCTGGTAGTGCAGTTCTATCCGATACCTCTTGTCCTGTTTTAGGGGAGTATGTTGGATGTTTTCTCTGGTGGCATAGTGGAGAGCTGGCTCTTTGGGAAGGGCTGTGAAGCCAGGTGTTGTGGCACTGCCGCGGTCCCTCGCAGAGAGCAGTGTCCCACCACAGAACAGCGCTGGAAGGGAAGCTCTGACCATAGTGTTTGCAGCAGTAGTTCCCCAACTTTGATCTGGCCAGATGGGGGATCATGGAAACATATTGCCCTTTAAAATGTTTTCAACTGAAAGTGTGGTTATACAAATAATTAATGTTGATTCATAAAAAGTCTTAGCGGGTAGGAGGTTCCTTTGTTCCCCCTCTGCCAAACTCGGAGCTTACATTATGAAAAGACAGTGCAGAAGGAGGTGATGACAATGTCATGTGCCCAAACTATGTGGCAACTATCTGATAGTAGCATTTTTATTGAATAACTCAATTATAAATATTAATATAGCTTTTAAACAAGGCGCAAATGGTTGTGCAAATACAGACAGCCAGGCACAAGGGTTTTATGGAGCTGTTACCATGCAGGGGTATGAAACAGGGGAACTCAAGTGTTTCATTTTGAAAGGAGGAAGGTTAATGAAGCAAAGTGTGCTGATAATTATAGTGCTGCTACAGTGTTAATGAAGTATCAGTTTGCCTTTTTTTTCCTGCTCAAATGTCTTCATTATATTTTGTGGATGACTTTTTGATTCAGTGTGATGTTCTACAAATGGATCAAGTGACTGAAATATACAATCCAGTTATATTCCACTGTGTTATATACCACGAGTTCTTTCTTGACCATGTTATTATTAATCTCTAATTGTTTTCGTACTGTGGTATTGTATCACATTATTAGTATTTTTGTGTGTGTGTGTAAAGGTAAAGCGGAATGGAAGTCTGCCTCAGTGCACACTGGATTACTATCTTCCTTTTGCTAATGGTTCATTATAAGTACGGCAAACAACTTCTTGGAAAAAAAAAAAAATTGAAGTAAACTGAAATGCAAATTCTTCCAGACAAAATGCCTTCAATGCAACAAACCACTTACTATTTCTTTTGGTAATAGCTAGATTTATTTGATCTGGCTCTTCTGAATGTATTTATCGTAACCTATTTGGATGACCCAGCAAATATGACTTGAATAAAAATACCAGGTGGATGTAAAAAGACAAAGGATTTTCTCTGTAAAAAGAGAAGTCCGAAGCACTTAGCCTTTTTTTTTTTAAGTTTTCCTAACTGGTGATGGATTTCAGATTATGCTTGACTATGATGTTCATCAGTGAAAAAGGCTTTTTCACTAAACTTTTCAGAGGTTGAAGCCCAGTGAAGCTAATGGATGTGATCTGGGAAGATCTGCAGATAAAACCTGGTTGCTGTGCCTTCTATTCTCATGCAGACTTTAAAAGCTGTAAAGGGAATGGTGATGCTGTCCTTGGCTTTACCTGCCTTTGCGCTTCCTCCAATTAGAGGATCTCTGAGCCTATGGGGAAAAGCCCTGTTTTTTAAGACTAGTGGCTGGAGTTGCAGTCACCACCCAGTTGAAGCACAGACAAGTGAGAACTTACCCGAGTGCTGCAAGTAAGGGAGAATTGCACAAGGGTTTTCAGGGAACTCGGGGAATGAGAAAAGGACTCATTCCTTGACTTTTGTTCTTTCACAGCAAATTGTTGGGTTTGGCTCCAGGTATGGACTGTTGCCGTCTGCATGAAGATGTCCTGGAGATCTTGAGTGGTGAATATCAGTGTTTTATATATTGACTAGAAAATAAATAGTTAAAGTAGTTTCCTTTTTTCCTACAGTCATGGTATAATACTGTTTGTGGAATTGAAATAATGGCAAAGAGTAATATTAGTAGTCATTCCATTTTCACATATTTTGTCTGCCCTGCTAGCAGAGGCAGTGGACACAATCCATCCAAGTGCCTAACTCATTTTTTTTGCATTTCGATGTCCTGCTCAATTCCAGGGTTCCTTAGTCCGAATTCACTACAGTGTATCTTTCAGGATGAACGTAACTCTATGAAATGTACAGGACTGGCTATTCAATTTCTGAACAACTTTTGGCATATTTTTCAGTGCTGTAAAAACATAATCTCAATGACGACATATTTTTCCAGCTCCTTTTCATACTTTGTAAAAATACATGTATATAAATTATAACAACACTTAGAATCTTTGACAAAGCAGTGTTTTTACGTTTTCCTTCTTCCTAAGGGACGAGCTTCAGCAAAAGTTTATTTGTATTTATAGGAAACTAGTAATTTTCTAAGATATCTCAGCAAGGTTAAATAGTATGGCTTAGCCATATTTTGTTTCCCATTTGTCTTGCAAATAATAATGAATAGGCTGGTGTTCTAGGAAGTACACGTCTGTTCCATTCAGTTACTACTTTTCTTCACCCCCTGAATATGTATTTTGGCTGCAGTACTGCCCTTTAACTATCACTTAAAGATGAATTCCATCTATATTTAAATTTTATTTCAGATTTAGTTTCTAAAAATGCAGCTTATATTTTCAACACCTTGTCCAAGTAATATATATTTAAAATACCTGTTATTGAAAATGACACTTGTCAACCTTGTCAAAGTTTGGCTTTTTTTAAAATTGACACTTGCTGGTGGAGAATGTTCTCTAAATTGGAGATGTACTCAGTTTGAAAATTTGCCAACAAAATTTAATCTCTATTTCTGAGGCAGATAGGAATAAATAAAATTTAACTTACTTTTTTAATTTTAAACATCAACTTACTTTCTGGTTTTTATAGAAACAAAGATTAATTGAAACAAAAGGACAAGATGAAGATTTAAAAATAAGGGAAGGCAAAATTAATTACAAAATTATTTTTTTTTCTCTAAGGAATTCAGAAAATGTAAAATATAGCAATGGAAAATCACTTCATATTGAAGTATTGCTGAAATATTGGCAATCTAAGTTTTAGAAATCAATTTTTTATTTGTGGAATGTGTGTGGAAGTGGTTGTTTTTTTAAACTCTGGCCTTCTTTTCGTTTAATGTTTGTATGGTTTCCCCAGATTGTTCCATTGCATCTTTGCAGTCATCTAAGAAAATGCTGACATAAAGTCTTCA